GTGTGTACCTCTGCTTGGGATGAATTCTTGCAGCTTGGGTATGTCTCAAAACGTCTTTATTTTTTTCTTTGTTTTTGAAAGATATTTTTGCTCGATATAGAATTTTGGTCAATGGGGTTTCCCCCACCCCATGCCTTTTAGCTTGCACTATTTCTGGCATGAAATCGTCTTTAATCCTTTTTGTCTCTGTACAAAATATTTTTCTCTTTCTCTCTGCTTTTAAGATTTTTCTCTGCATCACTGGTTTCAGCGACTCACTGGTATAGTCTGCTTCATGTTTCTTGTGGTGGGAGTTCTTCATGCCTCTTGGATCTGTGGTTTATAAGTTGTTCTCAAGGTTAGAAACTTTGTATTAGATCTTCAGATATATTTTTCTGCCTCTCATCCCCTTCTCTCATTTGGGCAGCCTACTTGCATGGATATGTAGGCGCTCTCAGTAGCCCCACTGTGTGCTGGTGTTCTCTGTGTATTTTGCTCCTCTGTATTTCTTTTGGGGTCGTTTCTATTATGTTTTCAAGTGCACTAGTCTTGTTTTCTACAGTGTATGTTCTTGTTAACACAATGTAGTATATTTTTCATCATAGGTATTGCAGTTTTTACACCTAGAAGTTTGATTTAGGTCTTTTTTTATAGCTGGTGTTGGTGCCGAGTTGGATTCTTGGATGCCTTGCTAGTGAGCAAGGGCTGCTTGCTGGTGTTGAAGCCGCCCCACCCTCACTGACGCTGGGGCAGGGGCCCCAAAGCGCACAGTGCTTCTTTGCCCTGACAAATAAGTTGCTTTAGAAAGAGCTGCTCCTGCTTCATCTTGCTTTTAAGCTTCTTGAGATGGGGTCGGAAGCGCATTTAGTTTGCGGTTACATTTTCCTATTGCAGATGAAACACCCGTGCTCTCGGTGATACCCTGTGAATTGCCTTGTCCTTTTCTTTCTTGCCGGAAAACTGAGTGAGCAGGGAGCAGCTGGCAGCAGGCACTGTCCCCAGCCCTGTGCGTGAGCCCCAAGCACTGCTTCCCCTGCCCCTCTCTGGGGGTTCCCAGGGACTTCACTCAGTTTGATCAGCACTCAGCTGAAGGCTGAGGGGAGGTGCTCTGGACAGTGAGGGGTTTCCCTGTGGGCAGCTGTCCTCCGTCCATTGCTGTCCTTGCAAACTGTGCCAGTTTTTTCTCCCTCTCACTCCCCAGCAGGGGGAGCTCCGCTGCCCTCCGCCTGGGTCACAGTCCCCAGGCCACAACCTAGAACCCGTCTGCAGTCAGTAAGCTGGGCGCCTGTGCGGCTTGTATCATTTCTTTCTCGTCTCTCAGGACTTCCTGTGTCTCCCCGCCCCACTTCCAGGACCTTCGGTCTTATATTTTTCTATAGACTTTGTCCAGCTTTTTTAGTTATTTCAGGTGGGAGGGCAAATCCGGTCCGTCGTACTTCATCTGATCTGGAAGCGGAAGGGACTTTTAATGTCTCGACGTGTTACTGGGTCAGGGTCTCGGCGCCAAGTACGTGCCGCTCTCACCGTTGCCTCTGAGAAAGCATCTTTATTTATAAAGTAAATACATTTTTCAAAGAATTTATTTATTTATTTTTACAGAGAAGAAAAGGGAGGGAGAAAGAGAGGGAGAGAAACGTGAGTGCGTGTGGTTGCCTCTGGAGTGCCCACACTGGGGACCCGGCCTGCAACCCAGGCATGTGCCCCGACTGGGAATCAAACCGGTGACCCTTTGGTTCGCAGCCCGCCCTCAGTCCACTGAGCCACACCAGCCAGGGGAGAGTAAATACATTTTTTAGAAGACAAAGGACCTGCTGTGAAAAGACATTTGCGTGCGCAAGAAAGTTTTGCCATATAAAGGATTCGTACAAATCAATGAGAAAATGATAGAAATTGTAATAAAAAAGGATAAACGGCCAATAAGTGTATTCTTTAAGTGGTTTTCCCTACTAGTAAACGAATAATTGTAGGCATTATGGTTTTGGGTTGAGAACCGCCGTGAATCCTTAGGTTTCCAGTGCCTGTGAGAGAGTGGGCGGGGCCTTCCCACTCGCTTTGGTGGGCGTGGGTACTGGCGGGGACCTTCTTGTGGGTGATTTTTCAGCAAATAGGCAGATGCCTCAAAGGGAGCCTACCTTGACCTGTCGTTTCACTTTTAGTAACTCATTCTGAAAAACTGAAGATTATGAGGAAGATTTAGGAACAAGATGTTTCCTACACCGGTGTGTATAGTGGAAAGAGTACTGAAAGCCACTTAAAGGGCAAACACAGGGATTGGTGAGCGAGGTTGATGCATCTACGGTGTGGCTTTTGGTGTGTGTGTGTGTCGTAAAAAGTGGTGTGGTTAAAAATTAAATGACGTGCAAAGATTGTTATCACGTGTGGAGTGAAACTATGGTTTACGAAGCAGCATGTCCTACAAGATCCCAACTTCGCTTTATTTTTTAAAAAATTGATGCGTAGAACAAGATTGCATTCTAAAATATAAATATTGATTATTTCTGAGTGGTGAATTTATGCATTTTAATTTCCTCACTTTCACTGGTATTTTCAAGCTTTCCACCATAAATATGTATGGCGTTGCCTTTGTAATGAGAGTAGGCTTATTTTTAGTTATCTCCCACGTTTCTTCACTGTTTGCATTTTTATGCTCAGGCAGTCCAGGGATTGGTCGGCTTTTACTGCCACAAAGGGCCAGGTGGTCCATCCTCTAGGCCTGAGGGCCAGCTGGTCTCAGTGACAGCTGCTCCACGCTGCTGTTGTGGAAAGAGAGCCACCACAGACAATATGGGAATGAAGGAATGAGGCTGTGTTCCAACAAAACTCAATTTGCAAAAAGAGACGGCTGGCCAGACTTGGCCTGGAGGATGTCTCTTCTCACTCCTCTCGGGTCTGGATTACAGGAAGGCCTGCCTCCCTCTGTTCTTAGGTGTCTGCAGACATGCGTTCCTTGCTTTGCTCTCCCAGCATAATTGGATAAAACCACGAATCCACACGTGGAATGCCATTAGCAAGACAATGTATTGATCAAGGTTTTCTTTTCCCCCTTCGTTTTAAACCGTTCTCTTAAAGCCATTGTTCCATTCTTATTTTGACTTTTTCTTTCCTCCGTCAGAAAAGGGTCTTAATTGACAACCCTTAGGGCCCTGAAGCTTTAGTTACAGAAAAATTAAATGCTTAGCAACGCGATTATTTGGTGCCTAAATGTTTATTTCTGCAATTAAATGTGCATGCAGTGGATAATGAGGGCTTTTTCTTTTTCTAAATAAAACGAACGTCAAACACTAAACAAATTCTGTATTCCCGAAAGGGGCAGGTAAGTCTCGTGTAGATCAATAAGATACTGATAACCCCCAAAACTGCTTTCAGAGGTCATCTCAACTATCCCCCCGCCCCCACCACCGCCCAGCCACCCAGTCCAAGCACCAGCCGAACAGAAGTCCCCAGGCCAGTTTCAGCTGGATTTCCCTGGGCTCTCTCACCATGTCATGAATTCAATGGGGCATCCGTGCGCCACTCTTGATTCTGGGTCTTCCGGCCACTGTAGGTGGCACATAGGATAAATGTGGGGTGGAGGGAGCTCGGGGCCAGTCTGACCCAGGTGGTCATGGGCTCCATTAAGAGTGTGGGTCACACCCGGCTGGTGTGGCTCAGTGGGTTGAGTGTCAGCCTGTGAACCAAAAGGCTGCTGGTTCGATGTCCAGTCTGGGCACATCCCTGGGTTGTGGGCAGGGTGCCCAGTTGGGGGCATGGGAGAGGCAACCTACATCAATGTTTCTCTCCCTCTTTCACCCTCCCTTCCCCCTGCTCTTTAACAAATAAATAAAATCTTTTTTTTAATGTGGGTTAGACCAGTATAAGAACAGTATCTATCATAGAAGGTTTTGTGGTTGTTTAATGAACTCTTTTTCAAGCTTTTTAGATTTAAGTATATTTGACGTACAATATTGTATCAGTTTCACGGGTACAATACAGTGATTTGATATTTACATACCTTACAATGTGATTGGCACACTAAGTCTCGCAATTATCTGCCACCATGCACACATCACAACATTAACCGTATTCCCCTTCACCTTGTTCTTCCTCCCCTCCCCTTCCCCTCTGGCAACCATCAATTTGATCTCTATTTCTATGAGTCTGTTTTTTGTTTGTTAGTTTTTAATTCCACATATAATCAAAATCATACAGTGCTTGTCTTTCTCTGTCTGAGTCATTTCACTCCGCGTCACCCCCTTTGAGTCCATCCGTGTAGTCACAACTGGCAAGATTTCCTTGTTATACGGCCGACTAACGTTCCATTGTACTTATGTACTGCATCTCCATCCATTTACCTGCAAGTGGGCACCAAGGATGCTTCCCAATCTCAGCTATTGTAAATAATGCTGCAGTGAGCACAGGGCTGCGTATGTCTTTTCAAAGTAATGTTTTTGTTTTCTTCGGATAAATACCCAGAAGTGGGATTGCTGGGTCATATGGGGGAGCCATTCTGAAAAACAGCATAGAGAGCCGTCAAAAAAACAAAAGTAGAGCCTCCATGATGTAGAGTTAGAATCCACCAGCGAGTACACGGGCCCAGGAGACTCTGCCGGGGACGTCCCCATGACTCAGGCAGGTTCAGCCGAGCTCGTGGCCATGGATGCTACTGCTCTCTGCCCTTCTTACAGCTGCCCCCTGTCCTGGCCGCGATGCTCAGCAGCAGAGCCCTCTCGCCTTGCCAGCCCTCCTCCTAGAAGCACCAGGTGCTTCTGTGTGTGCCTCCTGCCATACAGATGACACTCCTGCAGCCTTGAAATATGCTGTCGTCCCAGTTGCAGGGGACTGGTCCCACTGGAGACACACTGCCATAAAGAGCCCCCCCTTCCCCGCCCTCCCCTCCCAGTGCACACTCGGATGGCTAACCCTTTGGAACCTGGTGCCAGTGTGACCGTGGTTTGATATAGCCCAGGGTTGTCTCTCTTGTCCCATGTTCAAGGTAGAGTGCTCATTTCACAGCTGTGGATTCCCCCCTTCTGTCTCCCCAGAAATCGCAGGCACGCCGGTGTCTGAAATTGCTGGGCCCTTCTCAACAGACGACATAGCCAGCAACTGCGTCCCTGCCCTGCCTTTGAACGAGCCCATTTTGTGGATTGTCTCCTACACCCTCATGAGTGTGTGTGGGATCATCCTCCTCATTCTAATCGTCCTGCTGCTCGTCCCAGTCCGGTGCCAGCTGGGCACCCGCCACCCCGAGGCTGTCAACGACGAGTCCTCTCTGGTCCGGCATCGCTGGAAATGAAGAACAAAGCCTGAACTCGGGCAACCTTGAACTTGGCTATGAAGACAATTAAACTTCAAGTGCAGCAGGCCAGGGGTTGCCAGGCCAGGTTTCTTCCTCTGTCCATTAGTCTTAAATCTCTGTTCTGCTCCCAGATGCCTTCCAGAATTCACTGTATTTTGATTCTTGATTTCGTAACTTCCTTCTTCCAAGAAAAATGACAATAAATAACACCTCATTCTAAACCAAAACAGAGTGAATTGGGCTTCAGACTTTCTGCGACTGGTATACCAAACCATCTTGATGTGCCTCCAGATAGAAAGCAAGCCGTGGCCGCACTCCTGGCTCCCGTCTCCGGAGAAATGAGTGCACGGCGCGTAGCACTCTCCGTAGTGCACGGCCGCCTTCCCGTATCAATTGCACTTAATGGTATTTTGCACCAGGTGTCAACCAGGGTCCAAACGGTCCAGGAAGGCTCCCGAGGTGGCCGCGGGGGAAGCAGCCTGCCCCTCCTGAATCGGAAACTACAGCAGGCCCCCTTTCCGGGTCTTTCTGTGCCCTGAATGGAGATCATCACCCCGTGGTCCTCACCAGCCTCTTCTGAAGGTGGAACGAACGCCTTTGCCCGCCGTGGTGGGGTGAGAAGGAAGCCCACCCTTTCGTCCTCGATGCTTCTGTAATATTGTTGGTATACAAGTTTTAAAAAACTACCTCTGTTGAGACTCCGCCCAGGGTCCTCACCCAGGTAGGGGTGCGGGGGCCCATTCCAGCCGTTGCCCACTCCTGAAAGAGTCCTCCTTCCACCCAGGCAGATGAAAGTGGTGCTGTGCCGCACGTCCCTCGAGGACTTCTGTCACCAAGCTGGTCTTTAGCTCAAATCCGTCTCTTACTCGAAATCAGTAAACAGCGCTTCCGTGAGAAAAGCCAATTCTATTTCACTAGCTTTGTTCCTTCTTCCAGCTCTTCTTTGGTTATTACCCTTTAGAGAAGCAGAGAAAGGGCTAAGCGGCCGTGCACCCGACCAGCTCTCAGGGGAAGGAAGACGCGAGACATCCGAAGGACTGGGAGGGACCGTCTCATTATTCCCGTGCTTTCAAACTGTGTGTCTGCACTTGCAGAACGGCCCAGACTCGAGCACACCCATGACAATCAGCTTGAACAGACCGGTCACGCCATGGCCTACTCGCTCCCTCCCTTTGGTGCGCTCATCCTGGGTGCCTGTTGGGTGTCTTTACTTGGGGAAATCTTCTCTTGCTCTTATTTGAGGCCTTTGCCAAAGACAAGCAGAAACCTGTAACTCGATATAATTCGCCTTATACGATCCGATGTAATTAGGAGAAGGGTTCAAAGCCAGCACCTTTCTCTCTTGTTCGTGTGCCAAGTTCAATGTTCACTTTGCTTCGCTATTGCGAGGAGTTGCATCTGTAATAAAATTCCACTGGAAGGGCTAACTGTGGAGTCTCTCCTCCAGCTGGAGCGTTATTAGTGTTCACCTTGGGCCCCACGTGGATGTCTCAGCCCTCCACCTTGCTCACTGGACCCCAGGGCCACCTCCATCTTGAGAAATAGATGACAGGGGCAAAGAGGTGTGAGGTCACTCCCACATGTCCTGGTGTCCTCACAGACTGTCTGGCTCTCACGGGCCCCTCTGGAGAAGAGCCCGAATTCCCTGTGTTACCCACTACGCAGTTCAAGTGTGGCGGGAAGGAGCCCCTCTCTGGATGGGCTGCTGGGACAAAATTTATCAGATGCTCCTCATCACGGCCGGTCTAGGCTAGTGGAGAGGCACTAATCTAAAATCTACTCCGGAGTTAGAAATCTCTGGAATTGTAATTCTCTTCTTGCCTTATTGGCGTTTTCCCTGGCTGCTGTTTTGTGGGCCACTTTGCATAGAAATGAAGGCAGCCCCCCATAGACAGGGCCTTCCCCTGGCTGTGAAAACTCTGAAGCCCCCGAAATTAAAAAAAAAAAAACAGGAAATTGTAGGCGTGGGCTGGTTAGTTTTGCTTCTCGTTTCTTCACGCAGGTGTCCTGTGTTTTGTTTCCCTTGCTGGGTTTCCAAGCCCAGAATATTTCTGCCACAACCAGTCAGCAGACCCTATTCCCACAACACATGATAATCGCAAGTTAGGTTTCAAGCCAGGGTATTTGAATGATGCTTGCTATAATTCTGTCTTTTGTTTCCGATTCCTCTACCTTTTCCTCTCTGACGTCACTGAATGTGACATTTTAATGGGAATACTTAAATTAAAAAAGTATAATTTAGCAACAAGAATGAAACAGACAATTAAATGTGGGACATTTTCCCCCCGGAATGCCTTGCTGCTGAAACTGGGATTTGGAGTCAAAACCGTGTTAGAGCCGCCCACCTTCTGGAGGTATGTAAACTGAGACTTAGTTGTTGGGGGGGGTGCTTCAGGGAGGCTTGCGAGTTCAACAGGAGAGGGAGCAGAAGCAGCCATTGAGGGCGTCATCCTGGAAGACGTTTGTGTCTTGAAGACTATGACTTAGCATGAGGTTGCTGTCAAACCCTGTCAGCTCTCTGATGGATGAGGGAGGCTCCTACACAAACACACATAAGCAATACTTTTTAAAACCTGGTGATGCTTTATATTTCTGTTAAGGTATTTGGAAACCTCAAATGCAATACTGACTTCAGCATCTGAAACTGTTTATGAAAAAGAACAAGAAGCGGGTTAGGGAATGACCGGTTTGTTGTTTGCTTTTTTTCCTTTGGAAATTTAAAAGCACCACCAAGTGATGGATCGAGCAGGTCGTTTGCTATTTCCAAAGCACGATTTTGTATTTCTTCTCCCAAAACAAGTAGGGAGCGTGGGACAGCAGGGGACCTTTGCTGAACTCAGTCCACAACCTGCCATGCGGAAGGATTTTACCTGACGCAGCGTGACGTGCAGCGTCGTGGTTGGAGGTCAATGTGGGGTTAATCACAGTTCGAAATGATGAACATATATCCCAGCAGCATCATTCACTCCGCAGACCTGTGGATCATAGATTTTGCCAAGCAATTGTGATGAGGGGGTTGCAGTGTCTCACTTAAGAGGCGAGGCAGGAGCGTTTCATTATTCAATAGGTTCCCTGAGAGAATGAAAATTTGTTAATTTCCCCTTTCGGGTCCCCCACGTGGTAGAGCTGCCAAGGATGGTTCCGTTCCAAGTGCTGGCCTTGTGCCACTCAATGTCACGGGGAATAAACGGCTGCCCCACAGCCTGCTTCATCAACGACAATAATCTAGTTTCACAGGCTTCGTCCTGATTAGTGGAAACCAGATCACCTCGCAGGACCCCAGCTGTGTTTTCAACTCCCGCAAACTTGTTAGGATCGATTACGGAACTGTTCAGAATGCAAACTTGCCACTAAAAGTTCTTTTATTTTTTTTTTAGGAAAAACACCCAAACACCATAAAAATGTAGAAATATGGTTTTGCCAAGAAAGATACTAGATATTTAGTGCCAAGAAAACTGCACACAACAGAAGTTGTGTACATTTCTGGTGAGTCCTGAGAAATTCACATTTGAACTGACAACTGTATACCAATTAATCAGCACACAGGAAAAATCCATTTTGAGAGCAGGGAAGGAAAATAAAAGTATGTAACAAAACAAGTAGAAATTGCTCTTTTGAGAAAGTAGCTTTAATTCCAGGAATCTACAGATTTCTTTTACCTTGAAAGTTGTGGAATCCATTAGAGATGGGAATGATTTCACACAGTTGCAAACCCCAGACTTCAGGAATATTCCAGACCCCAAGGGCAGCCCAGACAGCACTGCCCCAGCCAGTACCAGGCCTCACCCAAAGGTCCTCACCCTCCTGCAGCCCCCCTGGTGCTGTTCAGGGTCCACGCACCTCAGTGGGTGTCCCGAGTGACTCTAATGAGCGCAAACTGTGCTTTTGGCCTGGAGCAAGTTCCCCTGGTGGGTGAGATTGTCACCTTGGCCATGGGAAGACAGCCTGAGGCCACGGTCATCTGTGTTTGTGTGAGTGAGAGCCAAGCCAGGCCTGGTGGTGGCCTCAGTGTATCTGCCAAACCTCTCATCCCCTTAGTGACTGGCTTTACATACAGGGTGGGGCAAAGGTAGGTTGACCATCGATCATGTGGAAAATGAGCCAGTAATTAACAAATAACAATCCAAGAATAAGCTCTTGTGTTTTTCGCGCTCCCAACTGGAAGCCTACTTTTGCCCCACCCTGTATGAATGTCTCGAGGGCATCCAGTTTAACAGTGTTTTCTCACCTACCTCTGAGCTCACAATCAGACATTACACGCAGATGGCCAGCGTTTCTACACCATTGTACTGTGTGATTTCACTGCATGCTTGCTCTTAAGGAGTGCCAGTTAGCAACGGGGTGGGCCAAGAGGCACGGAAAGGAAGGCGTCCCAGGTAAAGCCTCCCAGGGCTTGTTGGGGGACCACTGCCGAAGCAGTGATTCTGCAGGTGCCCAGTGAGCATCTTGGGATGCAGGAGAGAGGGTGATAAAATGTCTGTCCAGCCCCTAGATAGCTGCTGGACCGAGTTGCCCGGGCCTGTGAAGCAGTGATGGGAAGTGGGCAGCTCTCTTTGCAGGTGGAAAACTGTAGCAGGCCAGCTGGGTGGAGTCTAAATTGTAGTCTCCACACAGGGGTACCCCACGCATATCGATCTGAGTAGCATATGTGGCCAAAGCCGATGTATGATTCTATAGTCACCAATCACCCAGATTTATCAAGTGGATTTTGAGTCCGCCCAGCCCTGCTGTCCCGGTATTGGTCACTAAAAGGAGGCCTGAAACCTTCGGAGACTATTGTCTCCCCACCACTTGTGTTTTCCCACAGCATCTCCTCCATTTCAGTTGGAACTTCTGTATTTTTATTCATGACGGAGGCCCAGGTCAGAATGTCATGAGAAGGCCAGTGTCCCCACCAGGCAGCAGGCCTTACTTGCCTCCCCCGTTATGTGCTGCTTGTGCAGACGGCTCAAATTTTGCTGATGTCGCCACGGTTTCAGCCTGTGTCCTTGCACCCACTGAAGTCGAATTCCACATGAGCCTCACATTGTTGAAGTGAACGCCTTCTGAAAGAAAGTTAAGGAAGCATGAGAGGATGATCTTTTCACGACAGAGAAAAAAACGATGCAGGTCAGCGAAGGATCTATTATTCTGTAGTGAAAACCATACAGAACAAACTTTCTTAACTTCAGTTCCTTAAACAGTGCCATGTTCTCTGTTGCTGGTGGTGCCAACCTGGAATTTTCTCCCACTTTCCTGACTGTAGGTGCCGTGTTCTATCAGGGAGGCTGGATATTCTTAGTGTTGGAGAGAATGCATGAGACTCGTCATGTAATAAAAGCTGGGTTTTTGTAATGTAAAATAATGCATTTCCTACTATTTCTGTTCATTGGACAGTTAAAGATACTTAAAGTTTAAAATCACCTGTGTTCAGCCATTCAAAGCAGCCACTCATTTTTTTCTGAAGCTGGGGGACTTTGTTCCTGCGTGAACAGTGTTTCTTTGCTGGTGGAAGAGGGGCAAACTCGTGGTCTAAAATAGACACTAGAGGGCGTGCTTTGCAAAATGTATTGTGTGTATCTCAGACGAACAGGCTTAGATGCACAATTCTTAAGTGTAACTTAGAAATGCTCAAGATTATTTTATACCTCCCTTTTGGAATTTCCTTCTATTTTTAGTACACCGTGTTGATTTAAAGTTGTGTTAAGACCCAAAGTTGGAGTTAAGAGGTATTTGCTCCGTTTCAGAAGAGGCTCTGCAGACGCTGTTCAAACTGCGCACATCAAAGATGGACTTTTCTAAAATCGTATTTTTGTACTTACATGTCCCACCCATGTAAGAGTAAAAAAAAAGACTTTGGCTTGTTTGAATAAATAATATTCACAACGTGTTGGGTTTGGAGTTTTTCTAATAATTAGTTCAGGTCACGCTTCCGGAGAGACAAGGCTGATGTGCCGTGGTCCAGTCCTTTGTGGAGGTTCCTGGGAAGGAAAAGAAACAAAAGTGAGTGGAGGCGGGGCCCAAGCTCGGTCACCCAGATGTGAAGCACACTGAAAATGGGAGAAACATAAAGTGCACTAGAGTGCGAGACCCATCCTGGGAGTGGAGAGAGACCCGTGTAGATGGGACGCCCAGGAAGCACCTAAGTGGTGGTAAGAATGGGACTGGGTATTCAGCCCACGGCTGGAGACGGAACGTGGCCCCCTGGGGAACTCCCGTGGCCCCGCCCCGAAGGAGGCGGTGCTCTCCAAACTCTACAGACAAGAAACCAGCTCCTAGTTGCACACCCAGGAGAACAGCCAGAAAAGTGTTTGCCTTGGGAGACCACCCAGCTCCCGCCACCTCCAAAAGCACATCTCTTGCTCCACATCACCCTCTCACGAGGTGCTGACTCACGCCTTCCGGAAACGGAAGGATCCTGCTGAGTGGGCCAGTCTCCAGGGGGGTGTGCATTGGCTGGGTGAGTCAGAAACGGTGAGTGGAGACGGACTTTGCCCACCAGCTGTGATCTAGTTGCTACACATTCCCTTGAAAAATACATTTCTTTCCATGACAGCACTTTTCGTTTGATGATACCCAAACTAGATTTTTTAAGGAAATTTTGAAACATTAGAAAGTGAAGCAACAGTTACTTGAAAAACAGAATAGGATGTGTTCTTTCCAATAACACAGGAGGTCATTTGATTTCCATTTTAACTGGTTTTCTATGCTTGTTACACTTTGCCACATGTGAACTCTGCGTGGCCCTGCAAATGCGATTTTGCATGTTCATCACTAGGTGGTGCTGTTGTGGGACTTTGGGGCATGAGTTTGTGCTGCCTTTTTTCCACCCCGGTTCTGTGTGGCTTTCATAGGCAGCTTTTATCAACTGTGTATATATACCATTAAGCCACATCCCAGCAACTGGTCAAAGCTGTCCAGCTGTGTCCATTCTTCTCTAAAATACAATCTGCAAAATATACCGGCTAGCCATCTAGTAAACCTGGGAGGTAATCCACAATACGCCTCTCCAGCCTGGGCCTGCCCACCTGGCCATCTGCCCCACGAAGAATAAAACTGAGTCACACAGGTGCCATAAAGTCCCCGGGTTCTCCCTGTGGGTGGCAGAGTCCAGAGGCAAAAAACCAGTTTGTCTGATTACCAGATCCCTGGTCTCAACCATCATGCTACTGTCTTCATCAGGTTAAATACTGGAAATAGAAAAGAAAATTATTTTTGAAGTAAGAATGGTGTATGCTACAGCCAAAATGCTACAAGGGGAAATACCGGAGAATGTGCTTGTAACAAATATATCAGGGCAGACGCTAACATTTTCTGAACAGCAAATTCTAGATACAAATATGAGATATATTACAACATTTTAGCCTCAGAACAGCCCTGACAGGGACACAGTTACTAAAAAAACATTTCTTTCACCCTGGGCGTTCGCCATTATATTTTTGCCAGTCTCCCCAATTGCCTCTGGATTGCATATAGTTTTCTTCTTGTAGTTTCCTCACAAGGGAATTTCAGAAATACAGCCTTGGCTGGTGTGGCTCAGTGGATTGAGTGCTGGCCTGTGAACCAAGGGGTAACAGGTTCAATTCCCAGTCAGGGCACATGCCCAGATTACATACAGGCTAGGTCCTCAGTAGGGGACATGTGAGAGGCAACCGCACACTGATATTTCTCCCTCTCTTTCTCCATCCCTTCCCCAAATTAATAAATAGAGTTTCTGGCTGGTATAGCTAGTGGATTGGACAGGCCTGGAAGAAGGTGGCTGGTAGAGCGGGGAATGAGAGCAACCAAATGATGTTTCTCTTCTCTTTCTCCATCCCTTCCCCTTTCTCTAAAAATAAATAAATAAAATATTTTTTTAAAGAAATAAAGGTTGCTGAGTCCTCGCTTGCTAAAACTATGTGTAGCCTTTACACACACAGAAAACACTGGCTGGATAGAGAGGCCTTGTTCGTTGTTTCTTTAGCTTCCTGCGCCTATGGTATCGCTACCTTCTGGTTGGCGCATCCTGTTGGGAGAAGCTGAGGGAGCTCTCAGGTCGCCTCTCTTATTTTAAGTGACTTCCCATTGTCTTCCTAGCTGCCCAAAAGGTACTTTTCTTATCTTTAAAGCCCTGTAAGTCTAGAAAAGAACTCGTGCTAACCATTGGGGTTCAAACTTTCTGTGCCAGGAAATCTGAATATTTCTTCTGATCCTCCTCCTGTTCTGTGGACCTTGGTTCCACAGACGTTCGATGTGCTTTGCTTATCTTCTATAGCCGTCATATTGCAGTATTTTAAAAACATTTATTTTCGTGCAGTTTTTCACTTGCTGCATTTCTAGCTACTGTGTTCCTTGCTCCGTGAGTATCTATTTCCTCTAGGGCTTCTTCTAATGATTTTGTCTTTTCCTTTTAGAGTTTGGTCCGCCCAGATTTCACCTCCTGTTGTTTTGCTTTCTTCCTCCGATTTTTGCACTTCTCCATCACGGACCTCTGTTGAAAAAAATTCATCCAATACGTTGTTGTTGCTGCTGCTGCTGACTTTGTGGTGAAATGCATGTTTTTCGTTTGCTCTCTGAAAACCTTTTTTCTGGTGACTGCTCTTCATTGGATGGTAAGTTTTGCTACCCTTTCTCACACTTGGTGATAACACTTGCTCCCCAGCGCTGCCCAAGATCCTTTGGAAAATCTGTCACTTGCTCGCTAGCCGATTGCGGGAGGCTCCGGTGGGCAAAGACGTAGGACCGGGTTTCACAGCTGGAACGCTCGCTTGGTGGCCAGACGAGAGGACTATTTTCTGAGAACTGGAACCTGCGTGCGTGCGTGCGTGCGTGCATGCTTCGTTCGTTGCACAGGCCCACCTGTTCTGAGCCGCCAGCTCCATGCCCTTTTTTCCCTTCCCCACGGCTGAAGAGGAGTGAGGCCTTCACACTGCAGGGCGAGCTCCTCGTCCGGGAAACTGCGTGCTTTCTGCTGCGCTCGGAGGCTGGCCGCTGCGGGACTCCAGGGCCCTTGTTGCTCCCCACCTCCCTGCTGCACCTTGTCTCAGCTACTTTTGGAAGCACCTACGTGTTCTCTGCAGCCTGCAACTGACCTCTCCCTCTGGGTTTCGCGAAAAATGTCGGGTTCGAGGCCTGTGGTTTATTTCTTGTTGCATTTTTCTTGTTTCTCTTCCACAATTTCCAAGAGGAGATGGGGGAAGTTGCTGACTTCCGTGTTCAGACCGGAAGATTGGCCTCTGGTTTTCATTGTATTTCCACATCATTTTAATGGGTTTATTTTTTTTTCACCACAGAAATGTTTTCAGTTCAGTCATTGAAGTGTTTTTAAACTTTTTAATTGAGACTTCAAAATGTATTAAACATATTCCTCCCTGTGCTCTTCAGGGTGGGAAAACGAGTGATCCAACCGTTCAACAGGAGAGGAACGGTAGTCGCCACACATCTGCGGGGTGGAAGCCTCAGCAACCACGGAAAATGCGTTCTAGCCATTTAAAGATCAGGAGGTGATAACGTGAAGAGGAAAATAATAGAAACTGGGAAGCGGGATCAACAATTTTAAATGAGCACCCACACACAGAGGAGGGACCAAGGCCTGGAGAGTAAGGCACCCAGGAGCCGAAGCGGTTATTTCTAAAGGAATTGCAGGTGCTTTTAAATATTCTTTAAAAAATGCTGTGTTTCCTAAATGCACGGTGGGGCAAAAGTTAGTTTACACTTGTGAGCATACGAAACTCAGGGTTGATTCTTGTATTATTATTTGTTAATTATTGTATTATTTTCCACGTGAAAAACTGTAAACCTACTTTTCCCATCCTGTATACCTCACTTTTTAGAAAAGATTTTATTTATTTATATTTACAGAGAAGGGAAGAGGAAGAGAAAGAGAGGGGGGAGAAAGATCGATGTGGGAGAGAAACATCTGTTTCCTCTCACAAGCCCCCAAGTGGGGACCTGACCCGCAACCCAGGCAGGTGCCCTGACTGGGAATCGAAGTGGTGACCTTTCAGATTGCAGGCCCACGCTCAGTGCACTAAGCCACAGAAGACGGGGCTACATATTGTACTTTTATAATCAGAAAACTCTACGCAAAACAAATTTTAAAGCCTTGCTCATGGTTTTCTTTCGGTTCCTCAAATCTCATCCTGTTAAATTTTCATTCTGTGGTGACAAGTGGTCCCCCCCCGCCCACCCACAGCCCTGGCAGGAAACCGAGTCACTCTTAGCTCTTCCTCTCTGGGGCCCACAACACTGACCTGCTCATTACTTCTTTTGGTTCTCCCTCCAAAAGGACTCAAATCTCACCCCCACCCCCCGCCGTCACCAGGCTTGTTCCAAAGATCTGTCTTCTAGACCCTCACGTGGGTTTCCTCCTTTGCCTCCGAGCCCTTTGCCTCTCCTGCATGGAGCCCACCTTCCCTGTGGTTTGCACCACCCCCAGCCTGCGTTCCAGCACCTGGCCTGGGGCCGGGGACGGCCAACAAGTTACTTGATAGCTGGCGCGCAACAGCCACCAAACAACCAACCTGACGATGCCGGTCCTGCCAGTGTCTGTGGGCTGGCTGAGTCTGTCCTGCTCAGTACAAGTGGCTTAAGTGGGTGAAGGGGGCGGGGGCCGACTTCGTCCAGCACCCGGCACCCGGTGCCAGCCTGAACCAGTTCTAAGCCATGCCCAGTGAATGATGACCTGTTCTCCCCAGGTCCCTGCACTCGACCATCCAAACCGCCTCTTAGTGTTTTGATCATTGAATAGCATGTGAGCTCGGGAAGTACTCAGACGCTGTCCCCCTGTTTTCCCTTTTTCCTCAGCCGTTCTGACAACTTCATTAGAGGGCTGAGGCAGACAGCATATTGGGTCATGGGACACAGAGGGAATGGAGGGTCAGTGGCCTGGACTCCTCTCCTGTGATGACATCCAAACGCACACCCCACTCAGCAGTGGACGGGGTAGGTCGCTGACTTGCCAGTGTGGTCTGTTAAATGCCTGCTCACTGTAGAGGCATCTGCTGGTTGGTCAGATTATTTTTCCTGTGCATCCCATATTTTGTGCTTCATTTCCTTGGCCCCTGTTTCACCTGGGGTTGCAGGGTTGCTCTGCCTGGGAGCATTAACGCTTTCACGGGTAAGCCAAACTCTGCGTGTGTGAGGGGGAAACATTCACACCCATGCACGGCCCAGAGTGCCAGACACGGAAAGGAGAGCCGCGAGCCTCTGAATCAATGTCTCGTTTGTTGATTGCACTTCACCCACTTGAAACAGAAGTCTCTGCGATAGAGGAAGAAAGACGTTCAATAAAACACTGACCTGGGTGATCGGGAGGAAACCTGCATCTCGGTCCTGCCGGCCTCACCTGGGAAGAAGGGAGAGGGACCCAGAGCAATGGTTTCCTCTCACTCTTCCAGGGTTAGCACCAGGAAATTACGTGGAATTCCACATAAATCACACCAGGATCTTGTTAAAATACACACCCTGCATAGGTCTGGGGCAGGGCCTTTTCGACAAAGGGATGCCACTGGTCCAGGGACCCCATTAAGTAGCAAGGTCTAGGTTACCTCCTGTCCCCATCCCACCTTCAGTAAACACTCTACATGGTACGGCCTCTCATCATCCTTCAGACCCTGGCCTCACCTCTTCCTGGAAGCCCTCCAGTTTCTCCTGAGACGGGATGAAAATTAAGCATCCCCCACGATGATGTCGATGAGCTCAGCCTGTATCCCATGCCTGCGGGAAGCGGGCAGTGAGTGTTGTCACCATTGTTCCACCAGAATCCGGCGCTGTGTCTGGCTTGGGGACAGTGATACTACAGTCATCCCCCTGTGTCTACGGGGACTTAGTGCCAGGACCTGCTTCAGATGCTGAAACCCAGGGCAGTCCCTTACAATGGACGGATTCGTGTTTGCACACAAGCCCATCCTCCCCTGTACTCCCTTAAATCTTCTACAGGTTACTTACATTGCTTTCTGCAATGTAAATGCTGTGTGGATAGTTGTTACACTGTATTGTTTAAGGATCAACTTCCTGGAAGTTTTTCTGGAATATCTTTGATCTGCAGGCACAGAGAGCTGTCTAACCCTTTCACGCATCAGTGCATGAGTGGTTGGTTGCTTGCCCGTATTTGTGTGTTTTCCAATGTCATCAGGACATTTTCAAACCCCAGACAGCAGAAAAACTCGAGGTGTGCCTGTGCCAATATCCGCCTCTGCACCACACACCTTGGTTTCATCCTTGGAAAGCGGCGGTGATTCTCCCCGAATCCACACATGCCGCCCAGCCCCTTCCAGGCTCCCCCCCACCCAGCCACCCGAGTCCCCAGCAGGGAGCAGCACTGTGAACGTACCTCGCCCTCCAGGGGGAAGAAGGCCATGGCCTGGGTTATATGGGTTGGGGTCTGGGGGCTCGTTTTTCACGATTCTCGATGGCCAGCCTGGCTTCCGCTACCAAAAAGACGCTTGCTTCTCATGCCCTTTGAAACTAACTCCTGCTCTGAGTCGGTCTGACTTTGTTTGGCCTTCACAGTCAGACAAGGGAGGGCCCTCTGATGACCCTTTGCCCATAAGACGGGACACTGACACCCGCCGTACGGTGAAAGCCTGGGTTTGCGTGACAGAGGTTGTGCCTTTGCCCACTTCTCTGCCCAGCACTTAGCCTGTGGCCTGAGTTCTCAATGGATACTCTTTTGTTGAATATATGAATGAATGAATACATGCATGCGTGAACTTGCAAAGCCAAACACTTAGAAGGGAAATTGGAGTTATTAATATGAGCGGGGTTGGGGTTTTTTTTTTATGTCTTTGAAAGAGAAGCAGTGAATCCAACCAACAGAACCATGCCTTAGGAAGAGCAAAATTCTCAGTCCTTGTCTGGGGAAACTCCAAGTTCCTTCATGAAAAGCAGGTAAATAATCAGAAAGGAGTGGGACAGGCAGGTGTGGCTCCTTCGGTTGTCATTCCAGTAACCCTGGTGCTTGCCTATCCCTGGGCTCACTCATTTGTCCAGTCACTGAACAAATATTTGGAGAGTGCTGACCGTTCCCAGGGCCTGCCCTGGGCCCTGGTGATTCAGCTGTGAACCAAAGCCCCCCATCCACGTGGAAACTGCAGTGTATCAGAGAGGGGTGTGCACTGTAGAGAGTAAGTTAACAAGAAAATGTCTGACACGATGCCAGGCGGTGCGCCATGCCAGGGACGAGGGGTGACGGGCAGGGGTGAGGCGAAGAGGGAGGGATGGAGAGAGTGGTGGGGAGTTTCTGTAAATACCACCATGGCCATTTCCACGGCACCTCCCACACAGGCTGCCCTTCAAAGTCCACCTTGAGATCCGCATTCCAGCCAGCTCTCACCTGCACGGATGTCAGGGGAGGTCAGAGGGAACCCCAGCTCCTCTTCCTCCCAGAGATGGGGCGGAGTGCCAGTCGGCAGGTCTGCTATCTGTCCCTACCAGCCCTGCAAGGGTGTGCCCTCCAAGCCCTGAGCTGGTGGCTCTGGCCAGGCCAGTTCAGTCCTGCCCAGGCTTCCTGGTCCGCCCTTGCTGCCCAAGGGGGCAGCTCCTTGCTCCTACACAAGGAGAGCTCTGGCTTGGCGTTACTGTAATTTTCAAGGGAGGGGTGGGAGGGACAGCCTGTCCCTGTGACAGACGCAGACTCCCTCGTCCAGCTTCCTGGTTATTACAGTCACTCAGGTTCCCCTTATTCAGCTGTCCCCACCTTGGGTGCCTCTCACCCCAACCCGCCCTACTGCAAGGAACCAAACCACCCAGGGTCCTTGCCTGGGAGGTTTAGGTGACTTCCTGGTGCTTCCCACCTTGACACCCTGTGGCTCTGATCTCACATCGTCTGGACGCAGATGATCAAGTGCTATTTTAATAGACTATGTGCTTCCGGGTGTGGGCAGGGAAACGCTGGTGACCTGGCAGTGCTGTCACATGGTCACACACACCTGACTCGCCAGGCATCCTGTGAAAACAAGGACTCCACTGGGTGAGCGGTCTGCCGTTCTAACAAGCCCCCAGCTGGTGCAGGTCCTGGGCCACCCACCCGAGCATCGAATGCCACCACAGCGCCTCTCCTTTCGTCCTCTACTATCAGATCCAGTGGCTCCCAGCCACAGGCAGCGGTAACTCCCAGACAGACAATTTTGGGTGTCACAGCGGGGGAGCTGCCCCTGGCCACGTAGTGGACAGAGGACAGGAATGCTGCCCGCCTCCCACACGAGGGGCTGCCCCCACGCAGTGGAGCACCAGCCCAGAATGTCGAGGGCGCCCAGGCTGAAACCCTAACTCAGAAGCGTCTAACTCTGTCTACACACCAGAGTTCCCTAGAGTTCTAAAAGTGTCGGCCTGAGGGTCTTTCCTAGACAAGGACCTTGGGATCTTTGGGGCGAGGCCTCGGTTCTGCACTTTTACAGGCAAACGGGGGCTCCAAGGTGCCTTCCAGCTGAGAGCCAGCAGTCTCCACCACCATTGGCTGTAACCATGACAATCAGAGCAAGGAAGAGGGCTCATATTTGGGGGCTTTTCACATTTCCCATAATTGCACAGCACATATTTTTGCTAACACTGGCCAATGGGCTGTGGGACAACCTGAAGACACACCACTTGGGGGGATGTGAGGGACCCTCTGTGTGGGGAGGTTGTGGGGGAAGGAAGGTTCT